AAATCTAATATTTATTACCTAACAATTACCTAATACTTTTTAGTCTTACGTAACAATTTAACTAGACGCGTTATGGAAAACCGGAATGTTTTCGTAACGACTTTACATTTTCTTTAGCGCTAGAATAATATTCATTGCGTAAGATAATCGCCTATTACGTAAAGGTTACAAAGCAAAGTTTATTTCTTGCGTAACAGTTAAATTTGAAGTGTTACATAAGACTTCCGGAATGACATACCACATTACGTAACTTTGATTAATATTCATTACATAAAATGATCATCCATTACGCAAGGCTTCGTAATGACACTTTACAACTGTTACGTAAAAATACATATATTTCGTAAAGCTTACGAAACGATAGTTGTTTTTTACGTAATAGTTAAATTAGAAGCGTTACGTAAGCCTTCCGTAATGATTTAATATGTTACGTAACAGAAGGTTAATATTCATTAAATAAAAAGAGCATCTACTACGTAAGGTTTCCGTAATGACATTGTTCAACTATTAGGTAAGATAAACACACATTACATAATGCCTGTTATATTTAACGTAATGCGACTTGTGAAGCCTACTTTCCAAACTTATTAAGTTATATCACCCTGAAAAAATGAACATACATTTATGTTGAAACAAACACACCCTTCTTAGTAAACAAACAGGCATTTAAGTCGAAACGAAGCCAAGACTATAGAAAATTTGTCCAATTAGCTATGAAGCATCTAAATCTGGTTTTTGTAATTCCATACATGTTTCCAGAAACTAGCAGAGGCCTTGGCAACAGACGAAAGAGCAACATGTTCAAATCCCAATGGCTCGTTCACGTTGCGAATGCCTTACTTCCTTGATACATATAACATACATAAAAAATAAGTGGGCACTCAAGATTTCAAGTATATACTACTGCATACATTATGTACAGCATAGACATATTTGACAGTTTCCACGAATGTACAGTACACTAGTCGTGAAATGATGAAAAGTAGGTCTCAACCCAAGTATGGTTTGGTTAATAGTCAACGTTTTATACAAACAGAGAGACAAAAGCACCAAAAATGGGGCAATAATCGAACGAATCCAAACATAATCATTAAGAAGCATCAAGTCATCATCATAAGCGTATTAGTATAATCCTATCATAACTTGTTCTTTACACCTGCCATACCAACCACTGCATTGCAAGAGCACAGCTACAGATACTAATGGAGAACATGACCAATCCAGATGGAGCAGCAGCAGCCTGCACAAGCAATGCCCTGAAGAACAAGGAGCTGCTGCGGTGAAGAACAAGGATGAACACTCCCAGATCATTGATGTATATATAAGAACGAAACGGTGGCGTTCTAATCTCAGCAAAAGGGCGAGTCCAGAACGCCGCCGTTTCCCTTGGTCTGTTCACAACGAAGATAAGAAGGACGACGACGTTTAGCTAGACCAGAACAAACAGTGTAATTAGTTGATTGAGAACACGTGGCTGGCTAGGAGTGAATAGTTTAATTAGTTAGTTAGCCTTTACTGTTTGTTAGCCGTTGCTTTACTTTCCTTAATGTATCTCTGTACATATATATATGGGCAATCCAGAAAAGAAGACCTCAAGCTTTTGAGCTCTCTTCACCAAACCCTAGCCGTTTTCACTTTCTTCTTATGGTATCAGAGCATGGTTACCCATAACCAGAGCTCGTTTTGCTTCCAATTTGCTAGAATTACCACCTAGCCTTCTACATTCTTTGCAATGTCTACTCAAGCTACTGGATCTGCAGGAGGTCAGGGAGATGAGACCGCCTCAGAGAACAACAATACCCAACAGGGAAATCAACAATCTATGGTGCCGAGGTATGAAGATCCATACCTGAACCCCTACTACCTTCCAGCACATGATGGAGGTCTGGCCACCATAATCACAATGAAGCTCACAGATCAGAACTACAACTTATGGAGTCAGGTAATGGAACTGGCTCTCAATACCAAGAACAAACTTCAATTCGTGAATGGAATGATACCAGTTTCTGAAGTAGGAGATCCTATTTGGCCATCTTGGCATAGGTGCGACAGCACAGTTAGATGCTGGATCTACAATTCTCTGTCAGATGACATTGCAAACAGTGTAGTGCCTTATAGGGTTGCTAAAGATGTTTGGGATAATCTGAAGGAAAGGTTTAGTCAGGCTGATTTCATCAGGGTATATGAATTGAAAGAACAGGTGTCAAAACTGGTGCAGGGAGATCAAAGTGTGACACAGTATTATACAGCCTTAACCACAAAGTGGCAGGAGTATAACATGCATAGACCCATTCCTTGTTGCCCTTGTCCTAATAGCCCATACTACACAATCCAGAAGTACCATGAAGAAGATCTGATCATTAAGTTTATGCAAGGACTTAATGATACTTACCAAGCAGCAATGACACATGTTCTTATGAATGCACAGCTTCCTAGCATTGAATCTGTGTTCAAGCAGATGGTACAACTGGAGAGACAGATGAAAGGGTTAAACCCAAACAAAGGAAGAGTGGAATCAATTGCTTTGCTGGCAGCTGGTAACCAGTCAAAGCAGCCAAAGGGTCAAGGATCAAGGAATCCAAGAGACTACACAACTGAGGGAAAGAAATGGTGTAGGTACTGCAAGAAAGAGAACCACACTATCCAAGAGTGTTATAGACTGAAGAACAAGCAGTCTAGAGAGGAAGGGGTACCTTTTGCTGGTTCTGTTGACAGCAATTTGAGTGACACAGGAGGATCTAATACAGGTTCAGGAGGGAGATCAGAGGGAGAAGTGAACCTTTCAACACTTTTAACAGCAGATCAGCTTGATAAACTGAGGGCCATGCTGATAAAGTCACCATCCCCTGCACCCTCACCACCAAGCTCCCCACATGTGCAACACAATGCTGCTATGGTGATGAGGGCTCCTTCTGTGAACCAACCAGCTGCAAATTTGATCACAAGATCCACACCTCCTGCTTCACACTTTGCTGCAAGTTCTTCAGGTAACAAGACTTTACCTAGTAACTCAGAATTTCTTCATAGAAGAGTTTGGATTTTGGATACTGGAGCTACAGATCACATAACTTGTGATAAGAGTTTCTTCCTCAAAAGTAAACCTATTGACAAGGTTTACATTAGCCTGCCAAATGGGCAAAGAGTTCAAGCAACTTACATTGGGATCATTACTTTACCTTGTGGACTCTTTCTCACTCAAGTTCTTTTTGTTCCTTCCTTTACTTACAATTTGGTTTCTGTAAGTAAACTTACCACCAATCATCCAGTTTCCTTAGTTTTTAAATCCAATTTCTGTGTCATTCAGGACCTTATTACTCGGAGGAGGATTGGTTTAGCCCAAGTGGATAGAGGTCTTTACCTGTTTACAGAGTCCAAAGGTCAGGAATTTGCCACCCATAGAGACCAACAAAGTTTTGCAGCAGGAGTTTTCAATTTTCACAGTCAAGATTTCAATATCTGGCATGCCAGATTAGGACACCCTTCTTTGTCTAGAATGAAAGAGATTAAGCAAACATGTAATGATGTTGTTTTACCTTTGACACAGCACTGTGAAGTTTGTCATTTGGCTAAACAAAAGAGGCTTCCTTTCCCTCTTAGTAGTTCTGTTTCTTGTCAAATGTTTGAACTCATTCACACAGATATTTGGGGGCCACTTAATTGCATTTCTAGAGATGGTTACTCTTACTTTCTTATTGTAGTTGATGATTACAGTAGGGCTGTGTGGGTTTTCCTTTTAAAATCCAAGGCAGAAGCCAGATCTGTCTTACAGTCTTTTTGCACTATGGTCCACACACAGTTCAATGTCCCCATTAAAACCATCAGATCATATCAAGGAAAAGAGTTTCACATGCCAGAATTCTATAGCACTCATGGTATTGTCCATGAGATGAGCTGTGTTTACACAGCACAGCAAAATGGTAGGGTAGAACGCAAACACCAACACCTTTTGAATGTGGCCAGATCCCTTAAACTTCAATCTGGTCTACCATTGTCTTACTGGAGTGACTTTGTCCTCCATGCTGCCTACCTCATAAACAGAACACCAACTCCTGTCTTAAACCACAAAACCCCTTTTGAAATGTTACACAAAGTGCCCCCAGATTACATGAGTTTAAAAGTTTTTGGTTGTTTGGCCTATGCAACAGTGGTAGAAGGCCATAAACATAAGTTTGACCCTAGAGCTAATCAGTGTGTTTTCCTGGGTTTACCAACTGGCATTAAAGGTTTTAAGCTTCTTGACATCAATACTAAGAGAGTATTTGTCAATAGGGATGTTATTTTCTATGAGGATATCTTGCCTTATAGGCATCCCAACTCCCTTCCAGATTCTGGAACAGGTGAGAGTACTACCAATCTCTTTCCTGTTCCCATGTCTTCTCCAAGTTCAGAGGATTCAATTCGTCCTGAACCTCTACCCTTTGTTGAGCCTGAGTTAGCAGGGTTTTCTTCTCCACCTGCTACATCTACCCCTCACACATCACCTTCACCAGTTGTTTCACCTGCTGCATCACCTTTTAGATCTGCATCCAGATCTGTTCCAAGGTCTCCATCACCACATTCTACCCCTTCTTCTTCTCACCATTCATCACCACCAGTAGAGCAACCTAGGAAGTCCACTAGGCAAAGTGTGTTTCCAAGGAAATTTAATGACTTTTATGTTGGTAGCATGCAAGTCAGTGACTCTCCCAAGTCAGTACCCCTTGATTTGCTGCATCTTACTCCTCACCAGCAGCATTTTGCACTCACAATTGCTGCTGTCGTTGAGCCATCCTCTTATGCTGAAGCAGCACTTGACCCTAGATGGAATGCAGCAATGACAGATGATATCAAAGCACTTTATGAAAACAACACTTAGGAGATCACTGACTTACCCGAGGGAGTGAAGCCAATTGGTAACAAATGGGTGTACAAAGTTAAATTTCTGCCCAGTGGAGTCATTGAAAGGTTCAAAGCAAGAGTTGTGGCAAAAGGGTACACCCAAATCTATGGAATAGATTACTGTGACACTTTCTCTCCAGTGGCTAAGCTAACCTCAGTGAAAATGCTGCTGGCAATTGCCTCCATCCAGAATTGGCATTTGCACCAAATGGATGTTAGTAATGCTTTTCTTAATGGTGATTTAGAAGAGGTTGTTTATATGGAACTACCTGAAGGTTTGAGGGAGAAGCCAGAGTACAAAGGGAAGGTTTGCAAACTTAAGAAATCACTTTATGGTTTGAAACAAGCAAGTAGGATGTGGTATGCCAAGTTGACAGAATCCTTACTTGCCAAAGGCTTCAAACAGTCAAAGTCTGATTATTCGATCTTTCTTACTGAGATTACAGGAAACCTTGTGGTTGTGATTGTATATGTGGATGATATACTGGTAGGTAGTCCAAGTCTTGAAGCTGTCAATTCAGTGAAGAAGTTGTTGGGATCACTATTCAAAATGAAGGATCTGGGTGAAATGAAGTACTTCCTGGGATTAGAAATCAACAGAACAGCAGCAGGAATACATGTTTCACAGAGGAAATATTGCATAGAATTATTAAAGGAGGCTGGTTTTGACGAGTGCAAACCAGCCAAGACACCATCTAGTGTGAAGCAAGTTCTTTCTGCAGCAGATGGTGAGTCATACTTGAACATCCAGAACTTCAAACATCTACTTGGACAGTTACAATATCTAAACAGCACAAGACCAGATATCACGTTTGCAGTACAACAGTTGTGTCAATTCCAGGACTCTCCTACAACTGTGCATCTCAAGGCACTGCACAGGGTTTTCAGATATCTAAAGAACTCACCAGGACAGGGTGTGTTCTATTCCAGCAAGGCAGCAATTCAATTGACAGGATATAGTGACTCAGATTGGGCCACCTGTCCTGATACAAGGAGATCCTTAATAGGTTTTTGTGTATTTTTGGGAACTAGCCTGATAAGTTGGAAGGCAAAGAAGCAGAGCACAGTCTCTAGATCATCATCAGAAGCTGAATACAGAGCATTGGCACTCTTGAGTTGTGAAATCCAATGGCTAGTAAGGCTGCTCTCTGACTTTGGAATCACTCATTCACACCCAGCTGTTGTTTACTGTGACAGTCAGTCTGCAATACACATTGCAAGGAACCCAGTGTTCCATGAGAGAACCAAACATATAGAGGTCGACTGTCATGTGATCAGGGAGCGCTTAGAAAGTGGTTTGATCGATTTACATCATGTTTCTACTAATTATCAATTGGCAGATGTTTTTACCAAGAGCCTAGGCATTGACAGGTTCAACTTTCTCATGAGCAAGCTGGGAGTATCAGGACGATACTCGCCAGCTTGTGGGGGCGTAATGGAGAACATGACCAATCCAGATGGAGCAGCAGCAGCCTGCACAAGCAATGCCCTGAAGAATAAGGAGCTGCTGCTGTGAAGAACAAGGATGAACACTCCCAGATCATTGATGTATATATAAGAACGAAACGGTGGCGTTCTAATCTCAGCAAAAGGGCGAGTCCAGAACGCTGCCGTTTCCCTTGGTCTGTTTGCAACGAAGATAAGAAGGACGACGACGTTTAGCTAGACCAGAACAAACAGTGTAATTAGTTGATTGAGAACACGTGGCTGGCTAGGAGTGGATAGTTTAATTAGTTAGTTTGGCTTTACTGTTTGTTAGTCGTTGCTTTACTTTCCTTAATGTATCTCTGTACATATATATATGGGCAATCCAGAAAAGAAGACCTCAAGCTTTTGAGCTCTCTTCACCAAACCCTAGTCGTTTTCACTTTCTTCTTAGATACGTGTTAACCGATAAATTGACCTTTTTAAGATTACACAATGGAATGCGAAGTCGTGAAGAACAGGGGAAGAAGAAAACACACAAAAGCAGAAAGCGTAAGATGGAAATCCCAAAAATTGAAGATAAGTAAATCCTCGACCAAACATATAATTAAATTCAGTTATAAGCCTTCCATATCAGCAGTTTATAGTACAATACTAACAGATTGATTCGAGGGGAGAAGACATCTAACACTAAATATAATGACCATTGACCAAGAACCCAGCAAGAACAAATATGGCTACTGGTTCATCTATGTTGGTTACCACCAATGCAGTCAAAATCGCGTTTTAAAACTTAAAAACTTACGATTTTACGCTTTTAGGTCACCAAAACGCTTTTGTTTCCATATAAAAACTTCAGTGTATAAAATCAGACCAAATTGCGCTTCAAAGCTTAAAATCTTACGATTTTACGCTTCTAGTTCTCCAAACACGCTTTACGTTTTTACGCTTTTAGTTCACTAAATGATTATTCTTTTCATGAAATTAATTATAAAAAGTATATTTTTAAAAGTAAATCACCAACAATATGATACATTTGAGATTAAAAGATACATATAAGGTACTTGGATGCCTTCTCAACTTCGATAGAGTAATCTAATACACCAGCTAGGCTTTTCCCAAATTATTTAGCATAGTGGGAAAAGTGGCTTATTGTTAAAATTTATGTTTACAAACTTATTATTAAGATGCTATAAGTTGTTCTACTTAGGCACGAATCGCATGTATTTATTAACTTATCTAAATTCTATGCATTCATATTTTGCATAGCATATGTCCTACTTAATAAATTTTTAGTTATTTTTCAGCATGCGTAAAAAATTACGTTTTTACGCTTTGATACTACGCTTTACGATTTTATCCCTTTTCCGCTTCTAGGTAGAATCACGCTTTTAACTGCATTGGTTACCACACATATCCTAATTACAGTTCAATTCTGTAAAAAGAAGAAAGAAAGAAACGACCGTTCAATCCTACCTCCAAAACTTGTTAAGAAAAAGTCTGTTGTAAGGTGAACAAATGGCCAAACTTGTTACTTGGTGAAAATGGCAGTTTGGTAACTCTCACAGGCATCTCCATCACCACTTACATCCCTCAACCGGACTTAAGTTTCTTATCTTCCTCTCTTCTCAGAAATCCCTGGAAAATTACTCCAATAGTCTCTCACTGTACACTCTATCTAGGTAATAAACAAATGCCTCTACTCTCCAACCCAGCTTGTGAGTTTCTAAGATGAATATTTCTAAGAAGAATATGAACCTTCTTTTATTCGGGTTCCTTATTGGGCTTTGGCGAAAAAGAATACGTACAAGCTTGCATGAATGTGCAAGAAGGGCATAAGCAAAGCACTTGGAAACTAGAATAAAAATACTCATAATTTTCCCCAGCATATCACGATATTCACCGAGAATATGGATTTATGTCGACAATCAACCAAAGGAGAACGATCACATGGCAGAAATACGAACAGCAGAAACTTCTTCTCAATCCATTATAAAGCAATTAGTAAAGCTCAAAATACAGCAGTCCAAAGAGCTTAACACTTTAAGTAAAGTAGTGCAAGATTACCAAATCTTTGCAGAAAATTAAAACATTAATCCTAACATGCATGAATAATTTTGATACCCTAAATCTTAGGTCATAACAAAGATACAAAGTAAAAGCATCCCAACTTGCACCATAACGTCATAAACATTAACATAATGTCATATGGAGACACGATTAGCTCTACTCTCTGGTTAAATGTGGTTGTGAATGAAGGAGGGACGATTCACAAATTAAGGTTGAGACTTGGGTGTCGTTGTGGGAGTTGGGAGAGTGGTCGAATCGGATGTTAACTCTTATTGACATGTCGGTTGGGTCCACTGTTTGGTCCGGTAAACCGCGGTCTAGACCAGACCAGACCAAGAGATCAAAACATAAAATAATACAGACCATGGACCAGACCAGACCATACTTAACGATCTACGGTCCGGACCAAACTGTGTGGTACGGTTTGGACCACGGTTTTTGTAACGGTCTAGTCTATTTTCCCAACCCTACCAATAACAACCTCAGCACAAATAGCAATAAAACTGGCAGCAGAGATGAAAACTAAAGGAACCTACATACTAGAAAACCTATGCATTACTCAACTGGGAAAACAAGAGAAGGGCCTTTCAATTTCATTAGCACTTACATGAACTTGGTACAGGAAGATTCACATCTAGCATTATCAGCAAACAAAGCCTCTTTAGCAAAGAAAAAACAACCCAATAGCCAGAGAAAGGCTTGAAATGAATCTCCAATACCAGAAATGAATGAAGCAATCCACCTGTTATTTCAATTACTCTTAACGGAATTGTCTATACGAAGTAGCAAATACAAGCACAAGAAATACGTAACAACACAAAGGAACACGAAAGGCCAAGTCTAAGGCATCTTTACCTATTTGGAAATTGTCATTTGACTATCAATTTTTACAACCAAGGAAAAATTTTCTCTCTATTACATGGCCAGAGCCAGACACTTTTGGTCCAGAATGAACCACTGGCAATCAAATGAATCTCCATTCATATATATACATATACATGAAACCCTAATTCTCTAGTAAGTCTGATAAAAGAAGATTGATGAGAATTCAGAATTACCTGGATAGTAACAAGGTCACATTCCTCTCCATCTAGGACTTGGAAAGGGCATGGTGGGGGAGAGAGGGAAAGGGTTGGGGGAAAGCAACCATCTTGGGCTATGCACTGGCATGGTCGGGGAAAGAGGGAAAGCCGAAGGAGAAAGAAACGTGCCAGGAGAAAAGAGAGGATAAGGAGAGCGCGGAGAATTTAAGAACCCAAACGACAGAGGAGACTGCGGGAACTGCTGGAAAGGGGATGGCTGCGGCGGAGCCATCATCGCTGCCCCACCAGCAGCAGCCGCATTTGGCGGCGACGGAAGTAGCCCCTGGTGGTGGTGCTGCTGCTGGGGTGGTGGCGGTGGTCCAAAATGCAGTTGATCTTGTTGTTGCAGATTGTTCCATCGAGGGGAAACCAAAGGTGCGAGAGGGGAGAAGCCGGTAAAGTGCTGTTTGTTGGGATCCATCGAGTCCTGGAGATATCTCATGTAAGCTGAAACGGGGGACTCCGCCACTGGAGGGCCTGGGAATTGGGGTACCGGAGATAAAGGACCCGGCGGAGGGCGCGGGAAGAAGCTGTTGGGTGGCGGCGGTCCCGGAGGAGGCAAGTAGTGCTGCTGCTGCTGCGGGGCCATGGGGCGGTGGTGCTGAATCGGCGGGCGGCTGGGGGCAAGGCCGGCAAGCGGAGGAGGGCGGATCCGCTGCAATCGAGAGACCTGTGACGGCGGCTTGGATGCGGGAGGGGGAGGATTGGGGGGAGAAAAGCGGTCGTGGTGGGCAGGGGATCCGGTGAGGCGCTGAACGACGTCGCGGAAATCGTTCTTGTTGATGTTGTAGACATGGGGCTGGTTCTGTGTCGGCGGAGGATTAGGATTAGGATTAGGGGGATTGGATTGCTGGTGGTGGTGGTGGTGGTCAAAGGGGGAAGGAGAGACCTTTCTAGGGTTAGACGGGATACTGGGTTTGGAGATCTTCTGCGATTGCTTGTTGAGATTCTTCAGGTACTGATCTCTGCTGTGGTGGTGGTTATGATAGCTTCCGCCGCCGCTGCTGTACGAGTCAACGGAGGATTGCCGGTCCATTTCTTTTTCTCCCCCGAGGAGACGGCAAAGCGAAGTTTGAGAGAAACCCACGTGAGAGCTTGCTCCGGTGACTCTCAATTGGGCTGAATTGAGAGAGGAAAGCGAGGGGAGGCTGCGTCCGCCGGCGGTATACAACAAGCAATAGGGAAGAGACACAGAGAGAAAGGGGGGAATTGGGGAGCGTATTTTTCTAGGGATATATGGTTTTGTCTTTCTTGATTTTGCGACTGTATATCAGGGAAGGTGATAATTGAGATTGGTGGTGGTGGGGGAATGAAATGAATGATGAAGGGCGGTGAAGGGAGGGGATTGATTAATGGTGACAGTAAGTAGAAGCTAAATTCGAAAAAGAGAGCGGGCATAGTGGGAAGGGAAGGGATTCGTTTCTGCAATATTGGTGAGCTGGGCGAGGGCGAGGGCGAGGATGAGGCAGCCCAGCAGCAGCAAGCAAAGTTGCAACGTGGGGTTAGGGGAACTGTGGCGTGCTGGGTTCGTCCTAGAGATGAAGACTGACTAACGGAACTAGCTAGCTAGGGGGAAAAAAAAGCAACGACTTGTTAATGGAGAAACGCTATCGTAATAACGAGTAATGTGTTTTAATTAAGGTTTTCATACCCGGTTCATACCATAATGATTTAGTAAGTGAAATGGTTCAATAGGTAGTGTTTGACCCGGATTAGTACCGGGGGATTTGTGTGAAACCTTGATCCGGACTCCTGAGGAATCTCCTCGTGAGTGGAAGAATCCTGTGGAGAGTCAGGGGCGGCCCCCCGGGATCTACACTCTGACGCCCAAGTTAGAATAGGATATAAGATAATGATAGATGAATGTAGAGAGAGAAAGGGTTTAGAGAGAGAACCATAAGTGGTAAGTGTGGGAAGGGAGAGAGGTCCCTTTGCTTGGAGGGTCTAGCCTCCTTATATAGGAGTCGGAGGCATCCAGTGGACGCCTTCCGTTGTAATGGACGCCCCCGGTAGACTGGACGCCTCCCGTCGATAGACGCCTTCGGGTAATGGACGCCTCCCGGTGTACTGGACCCTAGAATGGGCTTGGGCCCAAGGTGTGACGCTTTGTGGCGGGCTTGGGCCAGTATTAGGCGGGTTAATACTAGACCCAACATTCGCGCCCTTTGCTTCTTGTATTCTGTAAGAATGGAAGGAGTAATATAACGCGTTAAGGTGTATTAACTTGCCTTACTTGCGAGCATAGGTGTCAATCGGGCGGGTTCGGGCTGGGTTCAATCGGGTTGCGGGTTAGTCAGTTTTGGGTTTATAGGGTTGCAGGTCAATCGGGTCGGGTTCAATTGGGTCCGGGTTCAATTGGATTGCGGGTTAGTCGGGTTGCGCGTTCATTGGGTTCGGGTTCAATCGGGTTGCGGGCTAATCGGGTAGCGGGTTCATCGGGTTTCAGGCCGGGCGGGTTGCGGGTTGTTCGGGTCAGCTCATCGAGTTATTTACTCGTTACTCGTTACCAACTTACACATTTTGTTACACTAATTTAAAATGTTTTCACAATTTTTAATGAATTTCTTTCTACCTCGTATATATACTTATTAAACAAAAAATTAGTCAAAATGTTGAATCAATTTGTATGACTTGCAAACTTGTCATGTAATTAATCGTAATTGGTAAAGTAAACTAGCTAATATCAATGGTGATATTAACATTTGCAACCAATAGACACTATTAACAAACCATATATTCAATAAATAAAATAACACTCTAAAAGCAAAGAAGAAAAACACTTTTTCCTATCTCAACATTTTTAGGGAGCAATGTAGATTACCCCAAGCGAAAATTGGATGACAATATAGATCAATCCAAACAAATGAAAATCTGCACTTCCTCCTCTAGATATTTCCATCTTTCACGTGATGTGAGGATATACAATTTAGATTAACTTAAGAAAATTTTAAATTTTACTATTGTGAGTTAATTAAAATGATAGTAATGGTTGTTAAAAAAATCAAGGAAAGCTTCCCGTAAATATTTATGGGCTGGAAAGAATTCAATTGGTATCTATTGTGATAACCGATCCGGGCCACAAAGTGAGAACTGAGAAGTAGTCCCCACCGTAGATGATGTTCAAGCGACGACAATGATAAGAGTTTTGTTTGGACGAGGATTGGTGACATGGATGAAATTAGCTTGGGATTGGTGATGAACTATTCCGAATTTGTTACATTACATCTTTTCAGAAATGAAAAGAAGGCGTGAGTCCATTTCCATTTCCCACCAATAACCTCCATTGTGGACTTCTCGTGATGGAACGTGAAACTAGATAACAACATTAATAAATATTAAGCAAAGTTCGAATATGGAAAATGGAATTTTGTTATCAGAAAACTTAATAAAATGTATTAACCAATTGTTATATACTCTATATATGTACTACGTATTGATATTTCATAGTTTGTTCTGGTGAATCAGTTCTGGTCAATTAAATTACGAATTTTAATTTATAATATATTAATGTTATACATTTTCTCAATTGTTAACTATTACAATAAAAATAGGGATGTTGTGCTAATATTGACATTTGGGGGATTGTGGTTTTGCCCATACATTTTAGCAGCATTGGTTTGTATGTGGTTGCTTCGTGTTTGTGTTTTAATCAAGATGATAAGGGGGAGGAAAGAAAGAACTCGGGGGAAAGAGAAAAACATATTTGATTGGTGTAATAGTTATGGTGAGATTAAGATTTTAATTCAATGTCCTATTACAATCACAAATTAAAAAGTGTAGGATAACACATAAATAAACACTCATATTCAGTTGAAAAGAAAAAAAAAATAGAATAACTACTCCGGAGACATTCATGTGATGAAATGAAGTGATGTGAGATACAACTTCAATACATTCGTAATAATATGCAACAACAATCCTTTAATCGATTAGAACTCCAAGTTTTCAATGCATTGCATATACTTGATAATTCGTAGAACGAACTTAAAGTTCAAGTGAACTTCATGTTTTAATTTTTGTAATTTTATTGAAAATACATTATTTCAAGTAAATTTTAGATTGTGAACATCACTTAGCGAATTGAAAAATGGTTATGTCTAGATTTAGAACCAATAACTTCATTTTGAAAGACTATATGTTATTTATATATAGTAATTATTCGGGTTAATCGGGCGGGTTCGGGTTAGTCGGGTTCGAGTCAATAGGGGTGCGGGTTAGTCGAATTCGGGTTCAATCGAGTTGTGGGCCAGTCGGGTTCGGGTCAATCGGGTTACAGGTCGTGTGGGTTACGGGTCATTGTTGAACGGGCGGGTTGCTCGGATCAGGTTCTGTTTTGACACCTATACCCGGATTAGTACCGGGGGATTTGTGTGGAACCTTGATCCGGACTCCCTTGTCTGATCTCCTCGGGAGTGGAAGAATCCTGTGGAGAGTCGGGGGAGGCCCCCGGGATCTACACTCCGACGCCCAAGTTAGAATAGGATATAAGATAATGATAGAAGAATGTAGAGAGAGAAAGGGTTTAAAGAGAGAACCATAAGTGGTAAAGTGTGGGAAGGGAGAGAGGTCCCTTTTCTTGGAGGGTCTGGCCTCTTTGTATAGGAGTCAGATGCATCTAGTGGATGCCTCCCTGTGGTGGGCGCCTCCCGTTGTAATGGACACCCCCGGTAGACTGGACGCCTCCCATCAATGGACTCCTTCGGGTAAAGGACGTCCCCGGGTGGACTGGACGCCTCCCGGTGTACTGGACCCTAGAATGGGCTTGGGCCCAAGGTGTGACGCTTTGTGAAGAGGTAAGCGTCGTTCCCATTATTTTGGAGTCCAATGGCATGGGTTTTGGAAATTTGATAAACAGTGAAGGGCATTTAGTTCTCTTTGCATTTTAGGACAGTTTTGGTACCATGAGAAAGTTTTGGCGCTATTAGGTAATTTATCATGTTGGAGAGCGAATCGTAAACAGTAACTAATGGGGGAGCAAATTGAAATATGCGAATTGGACTTAATTGTCAAACTCAGAAAGTTAAAGCTCCTTGGAGGGCCGAATTTTGAAAATCTGGAAGTTGGAGCCAAACTAGTAAAACTCAGGATTTTCGGGTATCATTCTGTAGTTTACCGTTTAGGGACCAAAAGGTAATTTTCCATAATTTCATGAGGAATCGTAGGATGAGTTCAATGGAGGAATTTGGGATTGTAATTAACCATATTGGAGGTCGTTTGACTAGTAACGCTAGTAGAAAGAAGTATTAAGTATTGCCTAAATACTTAATAGGAGAAGGTGCAAGAGGAGGATGATCGTGCACTTTTCGGACTTTGGCGTGGATCCACCGGCTGTAAAGAGGGATCATGTCGATCGATCAAGGTCGGCAAATGAGGTGAGTGTAAAGGGAGTTAAATCTCCGTTGAGATCCTTTAGATTATACCTTTTATTTCAAGTTATGCGTGTTTGCTTATTTGTTGTATCCCACCACCTTCTGAAGGTGGAGGAACACATTATGCTTATTTGTGTGACAGAATGTGAGTGATAATGTGACGCGTACGTAGCCATTCCACGTCGATCCAACCGCCAACCCAAGCCCAACCCAAAGTATCTAGACTAATTGTTAATTATTAATTATTATTCGGTTTTCTCTTTCCTTGTTGTTTCGGTTTTCCCTTTCCTTGTTTTTTCGGTTTTCCCTTTCGTATTATGCAAGCATGTAAGAATACTATAAGTATTGGTTTGGAGGAATAAGAGAAGTATAAGAAGAAAACCCCTAAACTCTAGTTTACTTTTACTTTGTTATGATTTTTGCGATGGACAAACCGATCGTCCATCATAATGTATGGATGTTGATATTAAAGTAAGGGAACCCCGAGACAGTTGGATCACTACCAGACGCGGTAGCTGATCGGATCATTGCTGAACAATGATACAGATCATTGTTGATCGAGTATGTTGGGTCACTACTGGACGACAAGACATAACGCAGTAGTTGACCGGGCATCATACTGGATGGCGAGACATAACGCAGTACCATTGCTTTGAGTTAGGGACATTGGACGGAGAGACGTAACGCGGTACCATTGCTCTGATAGCGACCGGATGGAATGACCATTTGAAGTGTTTGAATGTCATATTGTGTGCTCTGTCAAAGATTTCTGATTATGCAAAAAGAGTCTCATGTTTTTCAAAAGGGTGGACTGTATCTAGAAAAATGAAAAAATTTCTACAAGTAAAGACATTATTCAAAATATGTCATAGTTTGTTAAAAACAAAGTGTGTGGTAAACCCAATGTGTGATGCATCTTTTCATTGCACTAAAATAAGGTTTTGGAAGAGACTCGAGTTGAGTTTTGGTTGGGTAGTCATACAAGGTGATTCTAGTTCCTCTCTAGTACAAGTAAAAGTTCTACCCGTCGAATTGATTGCCAATTAGAGGATGTGTTTTTAAAGCTAATAAACTAAGCAAGCAAGTAATTAAAACTATGTTCATTTCAACCGAGAAAAGACTACTCGGACGATATCCCCCCAGTCCCATGTTGAGATGCTATTGTGATACTCTAATGTGATAGGTAAGCTTAATATACTGTTAGGAGCGCTAAAGTAGCTAGGACCACCTATTCGAGTGCATCTTAGCCCAATCAATCAATCTAATCGAAGGGATATACCTCATACCTGCAAAAGACGACCGAGGAAACCGATTCTACTCCCTCGAGATAAACCCAGATGGCATTGATTAACCAATCAAAATGATTCATGAAACTCTAAGATGATTGAGGAGTGACCTCAATTGCACTAATGGGAGCTTCTCCCTCCTGGGTTAATTGGCCCAAAATGGGAGGATTTGAATAATAACACCTAATTTGCATGAAAATACCTCAATCAGTATATAAATCATAATACCCAATCACAATAGAGTTCACAAATCACAACCTACAACATGCTAGAATAGGGTTCCTATCATCCAAGTGAAAAAGAGGACTACCTCATATCTAGAAGAGAAATAATAACCAAGATAGAAGAAAGAAACACATGGTAAAGTAGTTCTTCCTCTTCCTAGTTTCTTGAATGGATCCTTGGAGGAGAAATCTGCCCACCAATTGGCTTGGCTAGGTCTATTTCACCTTCCTCCCTTCCTTGCTCAAAGCTTTCTCTCTCTAAACTTGAAGAAGAACCCTTCAACTCTCTGTCTAGAATTCCCCTTTCATTTTCAACTCCCTCTCCTTTATTTAGCCTGCGAGCGCTCATATCATGGTCTCACTTCATGGTCATGAAGTATATAATAAACTGTGATCTCAGCGCATTACATGTTGTTTCATTAACATACTTCACGATTTGGTTGCTGACTTCACGGTTGAGAGTTCGTGATAATTACATTGTACGTGAACTACTCGAAGGGCTCTAGACAGTTGCAAACTTGATGGTTGAGTGTTGACATCATGGTCTAGGAATCGTGATCTTCGCACAGACTGCGAACTGCACAAAGTGTGTAGTCTTCATGGTTTGGCTCTCAATGTCACATTCGCTACCCGTATTAATCTCCGCCTGGCTTTGATACTTGCATTTTTGCCCATTTGGCTCCCTTTTCACACTCTTTTGTCCGACTTTTGATCCCAGTGCCAATTTTACCTGCTAAGGTCTGAAAAATGCCAAAACAAGACCAAACCTACCTTAAAATAGCTCCAAGGATGGTGCAAACCAAGTCAATTGACACAAGTAAAGGGATATAAAAGTGTGTAATCTATCTCGAATCACTCGCCCAATAGGCTCTCTCGAGGCAATCTATCTCGAAAAGAGAAGAGAACCAACAATGCTAGGTGATATTCTAAAGGAAAGGCCATAGTGGAATTGAATGTATGAAGGTGTAATGGCGACACCCTTACTCCCCAAAGAGGAAGATTGGTATGTTCAGGGTTTGCCAAGATACCATCATGTATCATGTGGCCTTCTTGTAGAGAGTGGCATTAGACGATGCCCAATTGGTCATCCCACATTTTAATTACTTTCGTGTCATAACAACGAAGGCACTTAGAATTGGAAATTGCAACCGATGTTGAGCTAGACATCCACGCACGTTTGATATGTCCAATGTCACCTCAATTAGTATACCTAACTAGCTAGAGATAGGTTGATGGTCACACCCCTAACCTACAAGTATCAACTAGATAAGAATCTAACGAGTAGGGGATGGTCACCTCAATCTCTAGATACCCCTCTAGGTCAACTAATAAATATAAGAAGCATTCACACACATCTAACCCTAATTAGAAGCATTAAGTACCCTAGTCAAACTCAACTATACCATAAATTCATGTGCAAGGTAATGGCAATTCCCCTATTATCTAGGTTACAACTAATGAAAATGGGATACATACAATCTCACACTAATTGATATCTAAAGCACTATTGCCCAAGGGAATGAAACTATCACCTAGTTTAAGAACAAATCAACCATAATCAAGCAAGAGCTTTATTGACAAACATCAAATAGACATAGATTATAGGTTCATAATCATTCATACTCATGACCATAAACAATCTATAAACTGGGGTTTTATCTTCCCCAAAATAGCCTTAGGGACTCAAGTCATATAAAGAGAAAGAAAAAACAAAGTAAGAAGAGGAGGAATGTTAGAAATCATCTTTTATTCCTTGGCTTGCACCTTCTCCTTGCTGCTTGGATGGATTGGATCTTCTTCTAAACTGTTCTAAGATGTCTCTCTCTAAAAACTGACCGAAAAGCCTAATTTATCCCTATAGGTCATCGCTCTTATCTTTCTCCAATAGCTCCTCTATATTTAGCCCTTGGAAATCTCGGGCAATTTCACGATTGCAAGTGGTAGATCATGGCCAACTGGGTGTGACGCCCACAATCTTGCAGCTTCTTCGTTTAGTTTGGGAAAGGTGGGAGATTGCGCCATGATTTCGCGACCGCAAACTTTGACTCTCGACCGTTTTTCATGGCTTCAAATAGCGGGGGCTGCAATCTGCCTCATGAATCTCTATGGTCTCTTCTAGACGTCTCTTGCCGAAGTTCGCCAATGAGAGGCACGAGATCGCTGTCCGGATCTTACTTCTTCAGCCCGTGGTCTCGTACTTGACTTCGCAAGCTTGGTTTCTCGGCCATGACCATGTTTCTTTGGCTACGAACTTTGTGTTTGCTCCGTTTTCCTACACATTAGCCCCTTTTCTCCCTTTTTTTCACTTGCAATGTCAAATGCGACCTAAAATGATATGATATGACAAAAGGAAGAGTTCTAGGCTACAAATGACGTTATATATATCTAATCTTGCTCAAAATGACATAAAATTACCTAATGAATGGAGGCTAAACAACACCATTTGGGTGTTGTCAAAGCATTTTCGCTTCTTACTCTCTTAACTCAATGTGTGTAATCTTCAAGCTCTAGCTTGTGGGGGAATATTGAAACAGCAGTCTCGTTTCAACGTCGACTCACTTTGGAGTAGTCACATGTCCTACTAAATCCTCTTTTATTTACATATCACATGAATGTCAATAGGATGGAACCCTATATTATTATTTTTTGGAAAGATGCTATATTATTTTTTTTTTGGAAAGATGTAACCCTACCTAGTTGATTGTGAGTAGAGTTGTCAAAATTGAACCCGATCCGACTAACCCGCCCAACCCACCCGACCCACAACCCGTCCATAACCCGATTTGACAAAAAGTCAACCACCTGAAGCCCGCCCGTAACCCGAAACAAATTGACCCGTAATCCGATCAACCCATAACTCGATGAACTCATTATCTGATCCAACCCATAACCCGACCCATCTATAACTTGAATGATTTATAACCCAAATAATCCGCAACTAAACTGAACCCAACTCGAATAACCCGAATAACCCATTTGACCCGAATGTTTGTACAAAAATTCAATGTATATATTATTATATTTTTAAATTTATCAATAAAGAACTGTTGTTCTCATAATAATTGAAAACTATTTATAGAATTGATGGTATACATTGAGGTTTTTTCTTAAATATTTAATTTTTAAAATAATAATACGTGAAATATCTTTTCATTAATTTTTTAATTGATGAAATTCAAAGGATAATTTTTTTGAAGATAATAGGAAGAGTTAGACACAAATTCGTATCTTCACCACCCATAACTAAATTAAAAAAATCAACCCTTGAAAATCAATGATCCCTATCAAGATATATAAGTGGATAGTTTACCCTTTTTACTTCATTCTCAACTTTTTACTGATTTTATTTATTTTTTATAAATTAATAAATCGACGATTCGAACTAAATGATAATATCATATTTGAGCGAACCGTTGTTCGACCCATGAGTTTTAGGATGAGATGTTATCGTGAATATATAAAAAGTTGTGAAGATATATAAGTTGGTGATTCGGAATGACGTTCATAATTCTTCGTGGAAATGAAGAGACACGCATCTAGTTCATACTATTTTTAATTAAGACGATTCATTTCGAGATGTATAAGCATATAGTATGCCTTTTTTACTTCATTCTCAAATTTTTATTGATTCAATTTTTTTATAAATTAATAAAATAAGCGAAGTTACAATCTCTCACCATTAACAAAAAAATTATAACCAACAACAAAGCTTTTATATACACTATTTTATTTATATTTAGTTTTTATACTAATATAATGGATATTTAATTTGTATGTGCAAAATATTATCATATTATCATTTTCTTAAATTTTGTATCATTACCTACAATTTATATTCATATATTGATAGTTTATAAAACATTATTTTCTATCAAGAAGTAAATGATCCAAGGGGTTGACCCGAATAACCCATAATCCGACCTGACCAAACCCGAATTAACCCGCAATCCAATAAACTCGTAATTTGATGCACCCGTAACCCGACCCGATCCGTAACCCAATTAACCAATGACCTGATTGACTCGTAACCCAATTGACCTGCAACCCAATTAAACTCAATCCAAATTGAAACCGACCCGATTGAACTTGCAATCCGATTGAACTCGCAACCTGATTAGACCCAATCCAAACTTGATCCAACCCGCCCAATTGACACCTCTAATTGTGAGAAAAGGGTATAAGAGAGGTAGTAGAGGTTATTTGCCAAACTTAATCACAATAATAAGAAAATTTAACTAAAAGTGTGAACGAAGCTATGGCCATGTGGTTGTGCCACTGATTTTCAGCCTGTATCCTTGAGGGACGACACTCATTTCCCATTCCTCACTCCTCTAGAAACACCGTGTAATAGTTTGTTGTCGAATTAACTAAAGGTATTACAAACACATGGGCTACTCATGATCATCGAGGATACTAAGCAAATCTAGTCTTTTTCAGGCTTTGGCAAGTAGGCCTAATAAAATAATTTGAAGCATATATTTTAAACCACGGTTGTTCGGTCACATGGATTGACAATTTGACATTCATAAGCCTACTAATATATACTAGGAGAGTTGTGCCGCGCTTTGCAGCGGCTTTAGATGGGCTCGTGAGTCGTGGTTTGTTGTTTACAGGCCCATCGAGACTTGTTAATTCTGAATTTTTTCATTGAACTAACTTTGACGTTTTTCTCCCTGAAGACTACAACCTCTAGTGCAACAGTAACACATTTATAACTATAATTATATTAGGACGGGTTGGTTGGTTGGTTGTTGCCCATATAATTAAGTGCGAAACAGAAAACAAAGAGAGATTGGAGTCTGAGAGGAAAGAAGGGATAGGCTAAACAGAAGAATATCTCTTTCCTCTCTTCATTTGTTTGATGGAGAAGAATACCCAGGAAGCCACGCCGCCGACGACTACAGCCGGCAAGATCATAAGATGCAAAGGTCCTTAATTAATTAATTAATTACTTGAGACTACTCTTTATTTGTTTCTTCAATTTTATTTTTTTGTTCCTTAATTCCATTAATGTGGGAGTTTGAAGATCAGTCGTCTTACTGAATTAATTATTTCCGGCGGCGGGGAAAAATATATAGCCGCGATATGTAGAAACCCTGGAGAGGCCCTGGTGGTGGAGGAGATCGAGGTGGAGCCGCCGAAAGCATGGGAAGTCCGCCTCAAGATCCTCTGCACCTCCCTCTGCCACAGTGACGTCACCTTCTGGAACATGAAACCCGTAAGCCCCTCCCCCCAAACCTCACGTCAGCGAGAGTTGTTTCTTGTTAATTGATTTTATTTGAATTCAGCGAGAGTTGTTCCCGAGAATTCTGGGTCACGAGGCGGTGGGAGTGGTTGAGAGCGTCGGGGAGAAAGTGGAAGGATGGAGGGAAGGTGAGAGAGCGCTGCCGGTGTTCGCGGCGGACTGCGAGGACTGTCGGGACTGCAGATCGGCGAAGAGCAACATATGCGCCTCCTTCGGCCGGCGGGGTATGGTTGGGTTGGGGATGCTCCGAGATGGGACCAGCCGGTTCCGTGACGGTTCGACCGGCGAGGTTTTGCACCATTTCCTCGGAGTTTCCAGCTTCTCCGAGTACACGGTGGTGGACGTCGTTAATTTGGTTAAGATCGGAGTCGATATCCCCGTCGATAAGGCCTGCTTGCTCAGCTGCGGCGTCTCCACAGGTAATTTTACATTTTCCTCCTAATTTACGTATAATAATAATAATAATTTTATCATCAAATATATCAGAAATCACGTTGTCCTCCAAGGATCGTTGGACTGGTCGATATAGTCACTAACCTTATGCCGGATGTTACGTCTTTTCCTTTGGAGGGGAAACAAACGTGACAATAGTTAAAGAAATAGATGGGGATAGGAAACGACATATGTTGTGGGAGGGGCTCAACTGATGACAGATTACGTTTTTTTCGTTTTCACATAGTCCAGCCTAGCATATTATATTCTTCTGCGTTTACGCTCTCAACGTGCGAGAAGTTTTATTATTTGAATCATGAATTAACCATAGTTTGATAGATGATATTATACCCTAATATTTAATGAATGAACTCCCATTTCTAATTTTGTAACTCAAACTATAAAATTAATTTAATTCAAAAATAATAATCTTAACTAATTTTATAAAGAAAATATGGATTTGTATCTTGAAGAACTTAACTAATCTAGTTCGAAGTTAGAGGATCTAAGAAGGTAAAGTATGAAGTAAATTCGAAACTAAAATTAATCTATATATTCACCGTATGTTCAAATTTATCCTTAAAGTGAGAATGAAAGTTGTGGAATTTATTTGAATTTAAGGGATTTACGAAAATTTAATAGAGATAGGTTGAATTTGAAGAATTTACAAAATTGAACATTAAAGTTAGGTGAAAAATTTGACATAGTTTGAATTTGAAAGATTTACGAAACGGTAGTATGACAGTTAAGTATCCAAATTGACTTTATGACAAAATTAAATATGAAAAGTAAAAAAATCCAAAATCGATATAATTCAGTATTGAACCCAACACCAAATAGCTCATGAAGTGACAACTTAAGCACAAAGCTAGAAGGAATGACTTTGTTTATTCATGACATACTATTATGTTTATATTATATTTAACTTTATAGGTAATTTCTAAATTGATTACCCTTTTGATTTCCAAAATTCTCGAGACCTCTTATAGCTCCTTCGCTGTCATAACACTTACCCCAGATGAAAAAACCAAAACACTTTCGTTTGGTTCATGGATTTGAAAAATGAATAAATGGTTTGGTGAAACTTGAGTTTTGTAAAATCATGTATATATAAAGATTTTTGGTTCATTATACACTTGTAAATTACCATTGTTTGTTTCATTGATTTCATGATGGATTTGGTAAATTAGATTTGTGTGCATGAAAATAACATAAATTACCTCGTTGGTATGAGAAGAGAAAGATAAAAAGAGGGATATTTTGGTCATAAATGATGGACTTTAAAGTCCACGGTGAAGACCCACCTTAAGGGGTAGAATATTCAAGTCCATGAGACCGGCAGATTTGGATCCTTAAAGTTCATAGAACCCACGAATTTGTTGCTATAAATTACATAAAACAAATAATGTACTTTAGAGAAAATCTACGATAAATCTAAATCTATCACTAAATCCATCAAACAAACTACCCTTTGTTCTTGAAACAGACCGGCAGACCACCAACGCAACTCCAAACTACCAACCGAAGCAACAGAATAATTAATGAAGGTATCTCATCTAACCCGTAACAAACTCCGCTATTAATAATGGACGTACAGCCCTTGCCTGTCATTGTTGGCGGAAGAAGACAATTAAAGAGCTTGGTTGGTTTGGTTGTATTGTACTCTAGTGTAGGTTCTCAAAGGATGGGATGGGGACCGAGTGCGCCTTTAGTTTTGTTATTGTCCCCAATGCTACAATACAAGCTCGCTTATTCCCATACGGAACTCTCTCTACAAGCTCGTTTATTCCCTCATTCCTTTTTTTCTCAATAACTACAGGTGGGGAAAGCCATCAGGGATGGAGCCAGGATTCTCGATTAGGGGGCCACAAAAAATTTCCAGCATACTGATAAGAAAATTTTATTAAAAAATTTTAATTACGTACAAAGAGTTCACAGACATTTTAATATATGCCACTTAAAATTGTGTCGAATTTAAAAAGTAATGACTTATCTCTTCTGAAATCATGATAAAAGAACCATGTGTTTTATAATACATCAAACATTTACCTATTTCATAATTCACAAATTCGAATATGATCCATTAGTAAAATAAGGTAGTCGATATTAAACCATATATATATAGATATGAGGATAAATTGTTTCTAAGAAATACGAAGATACCACCTGTCAACAAATCGAGAAAAAAAACTAAATAATATGTAGACGGTTAATATTAAAAATTGGGAGACCAAAGGCTAAGGCGCTAAGTCGTGTAAGCACTCACCAACTGTGATGATTTAGGTGGAGAAGAGGTAAAATAAACGACATTAAATAATATGTAGATGGTTAATATTAAAAATTGGGAGACCAAAGGCTAAGGCGCTAAGCCGTGTACGCACTCACCAACCGTGATTATCTAGGTGGAGAAGAGGTAAAATAAGATTAAAATTAACAAAGCAAGGATCGAACGATGTGTTATCTATGGACGATTTTAGCTATTTCTATGGAAACCAGTATAAGTGAAGGACAAATTCCTGCCTATAGCAACCTCTTAAATTATATCTCTTGGAAAATTATATGTACCAACCACAAATATTCGACAAACAGTACTCACAAGGCAACAAATTGGCAAAAACAGAAACCAAACTGTAGAATACCAAAATGGAGGTCCAGCTTCAGTGTTCTACCGAAAACGTGTCCCAACGATATAGACGTTGCTCCATCTTGTTGACCTGAGTGCATGAGAATAGAGTATATACTGCACTAGTAAACTAAGCATGGTTAGTTTTTCAGATGAGTTGGGAGTGGCGATATGACATTCACAACTTTAGTTTGGTTATGGATATTTTATCCTACATCCTTCAGGAGGCACTCGACACATGGCTCATTCCAGGTTTTCTTATGGATGACGCTGGTGGTCGTGGAGCTGTTAACCACTTCCTGTACGCTGACAATGCCGTCATTTTTTGTGATGCAACTGAGGATGTTGCCTTCAATCTTACAGCGGCCTTGATCACTTTCCAAACAATTACCGGCCTCAAAGTGAATATGTCAAAGAGTATGTTGTTTCCGGTGGGTGATGTCGACAATATTGATAGACTTGCTGAAATTTTAGGCTGCAACTGTAAATTCTTAGGTTACGAATATCTGGGTCTTCCTCTTGGTGCCTCGCCCTCATCCTCTTCAATCTGGAACTCGGTTATCTGCAGAGTGGAGAAAAGGTTGGATGGGTGGAAAGGAAAACTTCTGTCTCTTGGGGGAAGAATAACTTTATGCAAGGTTGTCTTTTGTTCACACAGTTTACATGTTCTCTCTGTCCAATGCGCCGAGTTCAGTGATTGAGGCTCTCGAAAAATCCCAAAGAAATTTTATTTGGTCCGGAAACCATCCCGAGAAGAAATTCCATCTCGTCTCGTGGGAGCGATGTAAGGCTCCTTTGAAACTGGGGGGACTTGGGATCGCGGACCTGCAAAGTTGCAATCAGGCGCTGTTTTGCAAATGGTTGTGGAGGTTTCCTCGGGAAAGGGACTCTTGGTGGCGGGAGTTGATTGGTTACAAGTTTCCCAACGATGTGTCAGAATGGATGATGGATAAAATCGATGGCCCCTTAGGATTGAGTCCCTGGATGCACATTTTGAAACTCAAGAATTTTTTCTGGAGGTTCACACGAATTGATCCTGGTGCTGGAACGGATACCTCTTTCTGGTTCGACAGATGGGTGACCGGAGGGCCTCTCGCTGCGGAGTTCCTGCGGATTGTTGCTGCCGCCGTGGAGCCAAGCTGTCGGGTTGCTGTCTTCCAGTTTGCTGAGGGGAGTGTAACTTGGGATATTCCTCTTAAATTTACTCTTAGAGGAGGGGTCGAGAGAGAGAGAGAGAGAATCAAATTGCTTGATATCCTACACAATTTGCCTTCTGATTTTCTGTGTGCAGGTCCCTCGCGTCTCGTGTGGGTGCCCTCGACCAAATCTGGTTTACTGCAAATTCCATGTATAAGGAACTTATTAAGGAGTGCTATCCCAATTCACCGGATTTCCCCTTCAAGTTTGTGTGGCAGGCTGCGGTTCCGTTCAAAGTATGTGTTTTCATGTGGATTGTTGTTCAGAAGAAGGTCCTTACCCATGATGCTCTGAAAAAAAGAGGGTGGGCTTTCCCAAGCAGGTGCGTGTTGTGCGGTGCTAGTGAAGAAAGTCTCAAACACATCATGCTTTTCTGGAGCTTCTCCATGGAGGTTTGGAGGATCATGGAGGCCTTCGTGGTGCTGCCGACTAGGGTGATCGATCTTACTTCTACCATCTCCTCCTGGCCTTGCGGCCAACCTGCTTTTTCCAGGGAGTGGTGTACCAAAGTATTCCTCCATGCTCTCTGCTGGCGTATTTGGTTGGAGCGAAATGCCAGGATTTTCAAGAATAAGATGGAGCTCACTCGGGTTGTTTGCTTCAGAATCGACAATACAATCTCTGACTGGTTGATTGCAGCTAATCATGTCGATCGAGCGGAGGCTGAAACGTGGCTCAGCACATTAAAGTCGCGCCTCCTCCCCAGTAGCAGAAACCAACAACATTTCGCAGACCCAGGCTGATCATCACCTTCTTCGAGTGGTCCTTGGGCTTCGGGACTTTGTAGCTTCTACTGTCTGAGCCTTTCCCTGCCATTGTACCATTTTCCTTTCGTGGACTGGCTACTGCTCCCTGCCGCTTGCTGTTTGTGGTTGGGGGGAGTGTGCCTGTTTCCTTCTTCTCTCTTGTTTGTCGTTTCTCCTAAACTCCTTACTAATTTATTTCACCATTATAAAAAAAAACTTTAGTCTTTAAATTACTATAAACAAGTGACTATATAGATTACCAGTCTACCACCACAATATTTGGATGATAATTAATTAAGTCAACTTTCTCATGCCAATTTACTCCGGTGGGATTAATAATGCAATATATTAACACTATTCTCAAAATAATAACAAGCATAAGTAGTAAATAAATGAACTGGTGATTTACATGACATACCCTTGATTTAGGGGTCAGTCCATGAGAATATTAGCTCCGCAATATTTTTCCATTATGACAATAGTAAGTTAGATAGAGTTTCGTGATACAAGAAAATAGATTACATGGTGTTTATTAAACAACTTCACTATTTGCATTAACTAGTAAATTTCATATCCATCCGTGGTTGAAAAAATATTTCTCAACCACTACCCACATAGAGTAGAAGAATCAAAGCTGAAGCAGAGCAAGCAAAGGAAGAAGAATGAATGAATGAATGGAGAGGGTCATAGGGATGGCAATGGGGCGGGTTTGGGGCGGGTTTGTCTAAACCATCCCCATCCCCACTTTCAAATATCTAAACCCATACCCGCCCCATACCCATGCGGGGGGGAGGATTTGCAAACCCATCCCCATACCCGTGGGTTTTGGGTACCCATGGGTAATACTCGCCCCGTACATCCTACATTATAATAGCTAAAATTTTACATACAAAAATTTCAATTATAATACTAAATGCACCTACTATTTCATAAAGTCGACAAAGAAACAATCATTCGTAATACTATTCTAAGCATCTTATTCTAAAACATCCAATAATCCATAAGATAGAGTAACAATATAAGCCAAATCATTATTCTCTGACTTTGGTCTATCTATTAAGTAATAAATAACTTACTAACATAATGATGTAAACATGAGGGAAAAAGTCAAAGAATGAAGGAAGATTTGGAGGAAATGAATTATGTTTTGATTTGGGTGGTCATTCAATTGTATTTCTACTATTTATTTTCATGAGTTACCCTTGCTATTAATGATAGATTACAAATTAATTAATGTACATTTTATATGTGAAGAAATGTTTTTGGTGGGGCGGGTATGGGTATGGGTATGGGTCGGGGGAGGCTAAACCCATACCCGCCCCATACCCATCAAACTTTTTGCGGGTTTTACCCATACCCGCCCCATACTCGGTCAATGTGAGGATTCCCTGCGTTGACTGGGTCGGGGACGGTCGGATACCCGCGGCCATGGGTTTGATTGCCATCCCTAGAGAGGGATAAGGGGCGATTTAGAGTGCAACTATACTGCATTTTTATCTGCATTCAAAAGCTTTGAGAATTGAATGCAAATTGGTGGCAGATCGACCTCTCAATTAACTACATTACTTGTTTTATTTGATTTGTATCCTTTTTTTATCAATTGAATCAATTGGTGTGACTACCTGTTAAGTTATGTTGTTGTCAAAAAAAAAAAAAAAAAAAACCTGTTAAGTTATGTTGACGGCCCCACGATTCTCACAAGCCCGGCTCATGGACGACTTTGTCATCCCTATTGGGATCGACAAAATTCACTCTGATTTTCATAGAATACAAAGACTCATTTTGGAGCTACGTCGAAGGCATTTAATGATGCACTTCACCATCTCCCAATGTTCATTTTCCCGTTTGGAAAGAAACCAACTGAGAAAACCAACTGAATTAGCAATCTTTTGTCTTGTACATGCCATTTTACATTTTGGAGCTATCTTCACAAATCAATATTGGTCATGGTGATTCACAAATAAACATCTAGGCTAACATTTGTTGGTTGTCTCAGCACAATAAGTGAAAATATATAATAAATTCAATGCCCTTTCTTTGACTAAATCCTTTCAGGACTAGTCTCACTTTGAAATGTGGCTAATAGTCATGCTCATCCTGCTTGAACTTCAACGACCACTTTTTTCATAGCTCTCTTGCCTTTTGGAAACTTCACTATCCTCTACAGGTGGTGGTTGACCATCCCCATCGACCACTTCCGGCTGAACCTCAACAAGAGCATCTGGTTTAACTATCTTCAAATGATCATGTTTCACTTCCTCTCGAAATGTTTTAGGGACGACATTGGAGAAACTAGTCCATCGCTCATAGGGCTAGTGTCGGTACTAGGAATTTATTTTCTAGCAACAACATATTCTATCATCTAATCCCTGATGAACATAACATTTTGAATCCTTATAAACATATTCTGGACCAATTTAACCATGGACTTCTCACTCAAGTGGCCAACATGATCATTTGTCACAACTCAATCGTGTAACAATTCTCGGCTGAGCTGACAACCTCCATAGAGATCTTGGATTTTGTCACATACAATTTCAAAAGCATCTTGCCTCTGGCCAATACAAATGATCTTCTTGTGAGTTTCTAACAATGATTTTGGAAGATGTTGTAGTAACCTTTCTCATCCAACTTTCCTGTAGATATCATATTCAGATGCATTTATGGACCTTGCATGACATCCTTTAGCAGCAGCTTTGTAGCATTATGCATCTCCAAGCAAACATCTCCTTTACCAAAAAAAATTCAAAAGATTAGCATTCTCATTCTTATCACAACACAATTATATGTTTTGTAAGATGAGTAAAATTCTCTCTTGGACAATGCGTGAATAGTAGCAACACTATCAACCAACCAGCTTGTGTCCTGGATTTTTAGGTTAACGACATATTTCTAGTAGATAATATTGAACTCCTCAATAGAGTTTGCATCATCATCGTCACTATTGTTTTCTCTTTTGCCATTCGTTCTCTCTATTTTTTAGATTTGGTGTGGCCTTCTCCCAATGATGACAATGAATTTTGGAAAACTTATTGGCCGTCCCTCTACTTCTTTCTCTGCTACAGGAATCCATTGGCATAATGTCTATTTTAAGAACAATGTGGATACCTTGTGATTTTTATGCATCTCTAAATTCAGGACGCTGTCTTTGAAAGCCTCATGCTACCAAATCCGTCTTTCACAAAAAAAAAAAAAAAAAAAAAAACAGTAAATAGAATCTTTAGCCTTTTCCACAATTTTGGAAGGGAATCTACAACCAGGAGAGCAATAATCTCATCTTTCATCTTTATGCACATATTGAACAATCGATATGTAATTCCTAGTATTACGTTCATTTGATTAGCCAAGGATGTGTCGTTCTTGTATTTCATCTGAACGACTTGGTCTAATTAACAATTTTTTATTTTCATTCTTCGATGGATAAAGTCCATCCATCGTACTCCATAATTTTTTTGCATCATTCTCACCAAATGTGATTGTAAACATTGTCATCGAAAAGCTATCGAATGTAGCTACACACTTGGCGATGCTCGAATTCTCAATACTCGTATTTTTGTCGACAAGTTTAGCTGAGCTAAAAACAAAAAATGTAACTTCATCACGAAAAAATATCCTTATTAATTTAATGTACTTTTATGCTAATGCACTATAATTTTACCGCCCTCTGAACTTCAAATCCTTATTCTGTCGGGTGCAGGAAGAGTGTAATTGTCATAAACCAACTGGTCCCAATAACTCGATTTGTTGGTAGGGGTTCAATTATGGATCATTAACCACTTACTAACGCACCCCCTTAAACGAAAGCCACTCATATAGGCAGTAGGCTTGAAGTTTGCATAGGACCGAACGCCATGTGCTTAACAAACTATATGAGGGCATTGAGATTCGAACAGAAGACCTCTCGGTCACAAAAGGTTCTGGTACCATGTTATAAATCAACTGGTCCCAATAATTCAAGTTGTTAGGAGAGATTCAATTATGCATTATATACCACTTACTAACAGTAATATGGTGGGTCACGGGACCCATCCTTGCTCAGGAGAAAAAATGTAAATTAGGTATAATAGTTAATCGATAATTAAAATTAGAACGTGTTTAATTGAGAATGGTTGACCTTACAAATATTGTATGTATGATTACAAATTGTTTATTGACAATCTTCAAAATTTTAAAACAAGTGACGCATAAAAGGACAATGGTCCATATAATCCACTACAAATTAATGGGTTGCTTATTCCATATCCACAACAAATTTCCCTTAAGTCATAGCTAACTTGTAAAAATAAAATTTATTTTAGCCATACGAATCAGAGTGTAATAAGATGGTCATCTAGAAGAAAATGGATACATTATATATCATAGCTAATTGAAAATGAAAGTTAAGATGCGTATGATTAAAAAAAATAAAAATAAAACAATTTTATCACATGCCATTTTTCTAATTACGCCTCTATATTTCGTCCCTACTATGTATAACGAAGTCATTTTAATAGCGTCATAAATCTTTTATATATACATATCATATTTGAATTTGTCTATATGTGACTAAAAAAACTTTTGTTCATGTGCGTTCATGATATGATATGGCGGGGTAGGGGTGGGGGCTGCATGGAAGGCGGCAGAGGTGGAAGAAGGATCCACCGTCGCCATTTTCGGACTCGGCGCCGTTGGGCTCGCAGTACGTACCCATTCCCATGCATGCATGGGGCTTTCATTTATGATTTATCTTAGCCACACATAATAATATGTACTATATCATAATATGGGCAAATATTTAATTAAGAGAACTTTACTATCATAATGTTCGTACGTCATATCTGAGGGATCGGAGGTCATTGAAAAGCTAGTAGTGATCGATGTTTTCGGGAACAAAGATGTACGTGTTTCACAAAGAAAATAGATAAACTCATGTCATGTGTGACGTTATCAGGTTGCAGAGGGAGCAAGAATGCGAGGCGCATCCAAAATCATCGGCGTCGACTTGAATGCTGATAAGTTTGAGCTAGGTATATCGATGCAACGTGTATATTATATTCAATCCTAAATTGATCCTGCTAGAAGAAGAAAAGAAGTCACTATATATCTAGCAAGCTAGACCTTAATTTCTGGGAATTTATTTTGATTTACAGGGAAGCAGTTTGGGCTCACTGATTTCATCAATCCTACGACAATTGGTGATAAGCGTGTGAGCGAGGTAATTGGCAGCTCTATATCTATAGATAAGGGTGTACATGAGTCGGGTGGGTTGGGTTTGAACCATTTAAGTCACCCGTTGTATAGTCTACGGTTTGAACAATGTCAAACCCAAACCCACCCACTAATATAAAAAAATGCTGTCGGTTTGCTCCGGGTTGGGTCCGTTTAATTTGGACTATGCATCCATAGAAAACCAACCCGATACAAGATATCACTTGCTTCAATTTACTTGCATTTTGACATTCTCCTGTTTTCTCTCTTTTCGTCCATTTAACAAAGACACATCTGTAACTTCTAGCAACAATACATATGATGCATGAGATCCATTGATGGAAATGGAAGTAACAAAATATTAGACATTGATTGATTTTGTTTTACAAATAATAACGATGATGAGTACTGCAACGAGCGGATTGCGTTAAAGCTAATTTGGTGGTTTTGTGTCATTTAATTCATGGTTTAGGTCATCAAGGAGATGACACATGGAGGAGCAGACTATTGCTTCGAATGCATTGGGTTGGCTTCTTTGATGGCTGAGGCTTTCTCTAGCAGCAGAGAGGTATTTGTTAAGTATTTCATTTCCTTTTAAAAAGAAACATTTTGATTTTTTTTTTATTTTTATGAATTGCAATGGCAAATCACTGTACTAATTTAATTTGTTTGTACTGTGACACAATATATATAGGGATGGGGAAAGACAGTGATAGTGGGGATCGAAATGCACGGCGCACCTTTAGTGGTGAGCCCTTACGAGATAATTCGAGGGCGGAGCATTTGTGGCACCTATTTTGGAGGACTCAAACCCAAAACTCACATCTCACTCCTTGTCAAGAAATACTTGGACAAGGTAACGTAATAGCCGTTCAAATTATTTTGTTGGAAAAATTGTTGATATGTGTTTGATTGATTGGTTGGGGGGAAAAAAAATTTGCATGCTGCAGGAGCTCAACTTGGACCCCTTCATTACACATGAAGTTGGATTGAAAGACATCAATAGGGCTTTTGAGTTGCTGGCGGAAGGACAGAGCCTGAGATGTCTTATATGGATGGATGGATGCAAACAACTAACTGTGCCTGCCTGAACTCACCCACCGAATCATTCTATGAGGATAAAAGCCTCAGAAACTGTTGAATAAAAGGGTTTTCATAAACGATCATCAAGGACTATAATGATACAATTCACACATATATACAATTATTTGAATCGTATGTGCATGTTGCTCAAATCCGGATGGAGGAGGAGAATCGTAGCATTACCAACTGCTTTAGTTTTTTGAAAGCGAGATCATTCTAATTAGAGCTAATACCACTGACACGCTAAAACACAACACCAAACTGTGACCAAGTGCAATCGCAGTCCGGTAATGCAGTAAGTGGCAAGCTCTATTTGTCAACCCGGGATCTAGATCTACTTCCTACTCCGTGATTATCTATTATCTAGCAAGCTAAGTCGAGTGATTGTTGATTTTAAGTAAAAGCAGTAAGAAAGCAGGAAATGGTTCAAAGTTCTTTAGCAAGGGAAGAGTCACTCGGGAATGAGTCCCCCTAGCTCCTTAGTTAGTTCGAGGTTGTAATTACCCTGGGTTGATTAACTGTTGTTAAAATGCGGAAGATCCGACAGTAGTTTGGAATCTCTTAAGCTGACCAAGCCCTCTCAGACAGGCTAACCGGCAGGCGACTAACCTTCACCGGGATAGACTACTGAGGCAATAAACACAGAACTCCACTACTGGAATTGGGTTCCAGTACAAAGCAGTAAATCGATTAACTTTGGTATAACCAATCTACCACTACCGCTTGATGAAGCTCTAACAACCTAATCAAATTCTATCTATCTTAGGTTGCAGCAGAAATCAAGAAAAGATGATCAGACTTCAATTGACTCAATGAATCATGCATCAATCGATTATAAGCAATCAGTAAAACAATCCCAAGTCATTACAATCAAAATCCCTAACACATGGAACTAGGGTTCTTCATACCCAAGTGAGAGAAGGTTCTACTCCATAGAGAGAGAGGAAAACAGAAATCAGAGTAGTCATACTCATAAAGATGAGGAAAATATGCTATGGGATGATGATCTCCAAGCTCGAAAATCACATCTAGGATGTGTTCTTCGCACTTTCTCTCTCTACAACTCTGGTTTTTGCTCAGAAACTCGATTCCCTCTCCTTTGGCTCGAAACTGGGTTAAAACCCAGAATTTCCAGACCACACGGCCAGGCCACATGGCCGTGTGGCTTTCCAGTCTGCCCGTGTGGATGTGAAAACGCCGCGTTTAGATTAGTGGACTTCAGGCACGCTGCACGGCCAGAGGCACACGGCCGTGTGGATTTCCAGTCTGGCCATGTGAGCTCCCTGGACTTTCCACACGGCCACAAGGGGTCCCATACATGGCCAGTGTGGCTTGCCCGCGTCATGGAATTCCACACGGCCAAGTCACACGGCCGTGTGGAATTTAGGTCTGCTGTGTGGAATTTCCGGCTTTTCGTCAAACATCCCAACTTCGTCCAATCGACCCCGAACTCGTGCCCAAACCTTCTTTCACGTACTAGGACCTGAAATATCACAAACAAGAACAACCTAGCGTGAAATCGGCCTAAAACATGAGAGATGAGACTCAAACGGTACAGAGATGGTGGATAAAAACATGTGTATATATCTAGTCATCAACCACTACACCATCTGAATTAGAGAAAATGCTACATCTGTCCTATTTTTTTCAATATGACAATTCTATCCCAACATATGTGAGACATTTGTGTCAAGACATCGTACATTGACCGTTAGAGATAACGGCGGACAAAAGTCAAACTGTTATTGTCTTTGGCTTATGTGAAAGTTAATGCCTTTCGGCGATCAATCCCTCTCCGGTGTTGGGCGTCTCTGTCCAAGTGACCGGTGGGGGTATATGCGAAAAATTTCAACTTATAAATCAGAATAAGGAATAACAACTAGCACAAGATTAACAAAGATAAAAACCATGCATAATTAAAGGCAATTTTCCGGATTATTCTCTCCATAGGTCTGATGGAAGTATATGTCATATGAGTTATCACCAACTTTTTAGAAGATGATTCATATTTCATATGAATTATATTTCATCATATCTTATTTTTAACTATTATTAGATCTAATTTGCTACGATGGGTCCTATAGATTTCTCTCTTGAGGAGCTTGAGTAGGTCAATCGATTGTGATAGATGGTTGTGTCCAGACTCATCCAACACAAAACTTATTCAAAGCTATCGACACGTGCAAAGATAGCTTTGATTAAATAGGCAATCTTATTGACAAGAAAATATACACAAAGATTGAATTAACATCCATAACAAAATCATGCCTCATTCCTAGTTTCAACACAATCTCTACAATATAGGGATTCAGCTATCCATAAATACAGAAGAAACAAGAGATACAAGAAGGATAGATGTCACTGTGATGATTTCCTACTTGATTCTCGACTTTCTTATTCGTTTTGAGGGTTAGGAGCTTCTCTAGATCGTGTTTTCGTAGCTAAGCCCTACTGAGTTTGTCCACATGACAGATATGACTATTTGATCCTCATAAATTTATCCATCTATATGCGTTTTCCATAATGGCGTGTTTTTTAGTCGGCTAGGCTGTCATTTTGGGCTTTAGGCAGACTGCCATTTTGCTACTTGACTTGCTCGGGTCATATCTCACTCATCCAACCTCCGAATCCGTCCCCGTTTGAACCCAGACGCTCGTATCATCACCATCTTTTATGTCATTATCATCCTCTCTTATTTATCTTTCATGGTTGGATATACCTTGACTATGAAAACGCTATCTAGATCTTGAATTAACAGGATTTTTGGACATGATACTATACTTTTAACCCTTAATGAGTAAATCCTAGGTCTTATTTATCTAAATCATAAACTATAAACCCTAAGACGGTGCTTTCATCTGTTTGCCTATATTTGGATGAATCATAACTGTCGATTATTGTTTCAAATTAAATTGATCTTGGAATATAAGATTTAGAGAATTAAGACCTGGATTTTGATCTTGAATGGTTAGAGTAGTCGAATTGGATCGCTAACCATATTATCAAGGCAGCTCATTAGTTGAACTCAACGAGTCACTGATTCGATCTAGCTCGCGAGCCTTCATGAGCCGAACAAGGATGAGCTCAGGCTTGACTCTTTTACTAACGAGCTGAATTATGAATGAGCTTTTTCCTAATCAAGCGTCGAGCCGCTCATGAAAAACTTGGCTCATTTGCAGCCCTATGTACAAGTATATCTTAATTAAAGTAAAACAAGTTGAAGTCAGGTGTAAACTTACCAACAAACCAATAATGACACCACCTTTTGGTGAACTTGCGGCACAAAACCATGTACTCGCCTTGTTACCGCATTGGCCTTGTCATTGGGTCATCATAAACTCTGAATGTCACTCTATTATCCCATATGTTGATCTAGTAGTCGGGTTTCCTTTGATAATTGGTTGTACTACACCTCAAGTCCTTATTATGTTTGTGTAGGTCTTTAAACACGACCAGTGGTGAGGCAAGGTTTGGTTGATATTGCTTCATGTATCTGTCAGGGACATGATACTCGGTAATATTCCAAAAAATGAGGGGGACCTTGGCATGACCAATTCGCTTGATCCTTAGGGTGTAGCAAGTGGTTCACCTTTACATACCCTCGGGATACATATTCCATTCCACTTGAAATAAAAATGAGGTCGAATTAGCATACTCTACTTATCACACTCAAAAATTACAAACCATAGCAAATAGGTTATTTGGTTAACTCATTGACCCAAAGATGGTCAAAGTGCAGATGGTACTGCTCTAGAGAGTGCTCTGATTAGTGGTCTCTTGTGGTAGATCCAAACCACCTAAGAAAAGTGACTCACTTTTACCAACACAACTTAACTACGACCAAGTATAATCATAATTTCGGTATGCAGTATAGTGGTTCAGGTTCTACATGTAAACCCGGGTCCTAGGTATACTGTTACTCCACGCAATTCTATAATATAAAGTAAGCCACTTTTCTTAGGTGGTTTGGATCTACCACAAGAGACTACTGATCAGAGCACTCTTCAGAGCAATTCTAAATGTCAACCCGTGTCCTAGGTGACAGTCAAGTGAAGTTTATTATAAACTAAAGCAAAATAAAGGCAGTAAATGTTCTGGGTTTTCAAGTATGAGAAAGGTCACCTAGGTATGTGTCCCCCTAGTCTGCAGTTAAGTCATGTTGTAATCCCTCAAGTTCATTTCAATTGACAAATATATTGCGGAAAGTTCTTCAGATGTTTGAACTCTCGACTAAAGAATTCCAGATCCTCTGGTAACTAATGAAAGTCTTTTTTGGATACCGGGCATGCGACTAACCTCCACCGAAATAAGCTAATCGAGGCATTACCACATAAACCTTCCTCTACTAGATTTCAATTCCAGTACAGAGCAGTAAATCGACTTCTCGACTAAAGCAATCAATTCACAACTTCCAATTAAGGTTTCTCTTTTAACCTATGTAGGGACTAGCGTTCTAGAGTAAAGCAAAAATCACAGGAATTTGATCAGGATTCATGCCTTAATTGAATATATGATAGTCAATCATCCATGAAAATGGGTTCATACAATCATTCCTAGCATACACGACAAGGGTTCTTCAAAACCTAAGTGAAGGGAAGTCACTCCATAGAGATGAGAGAGAATACAGTATATCTTTCCAAATCTTCAATCTTCATGTCTAGGCTTGTTCCTCAAGCTTCAAAGGCAAAAAAATCCTCCAATTATGTTCCCAGATCGCCCTTAAATCACTCTCTCATTCTAGGGTTCGTCCCTTGGGTGTTCGAGATCCAAAACCCAGCCCCCCCTCTCCAAAAATTGCAAAATAGCCTTTATACCCGAAGCTGAAATTTGCACCCGCCAGTATGAACGGCCGTGAAAATCAATGCACTGCCCGTACAAACTCTAGAACGCACCATTTCACTTGATTGAGCAAGGGGGAAGTCACACCCTTGATGTGGAAAAGCACGACCATGTAAATTGGGCTCCTGGTTGTGCAAACCCTCTGGAAACCTTGCACGGTCGTGAAAATTTTCCAACATGCATTCCTAAGCTCCGTTTGAGCTCGTTTGAGCTCCGATTGACTCAAAACCTGCGCCCAAGCCTTCCTTTATTTGTTAGGTCTTGAAATACATCAAAGGAGCAAAAACTAGCATAGAATAGGCCAAGTAATGATCAATCTCCAAGCTAAATAATCAAGAAATTGAGAGGAAAACATGTGAAAATATAGTGTTATCACAAGGAATATTAAACTTTGTGTTAAGATGAATGCAAGGAATATATCAATATCGAAACTTAAGACAAAATAGAAACAAAAATCTATCATAATAACTGGAAAAGAAGAATAATATACCTAACACCATAAGGGTTTTTTCCTAGTTCCTCATTGTCAGCCCAATCTTTGCTTGGAAAGTATGGTGCAAAAGTTTAAAGCTAGTCCCAAGTCCAAAGTTGGATGGTCAACATGTGATACATTCATAGTTATACATATCTTAGACCCCATTAGTTAGATGTTTGTAGCATTTTACCTCACAAACTTATTTACTTTGACCATTTTTATGCTAGGTTTTGCTTTCTTTGTAGATTCTAGGTCCTAATGTATCAAGGATGTTTGAGAGCAAGTTTCCGAGCATTTGGAGTCCATTTGGAGCTAGCAAAGGAGAAAATCCTAGGAGAACAAGACATGTTCATCTTTTCTTCTTTGTTTGAGCTCTCTTTCCCTATGAGATAAGCTTTTCTCTTCACTTGGGTTTGAGGAACCCTAGCTAGATGTAGTTGCATAATTGTTTGTTTGTAGCCATAGACTTGTAATCATTCTATCTCCTTATCTAATTCATGTTGATTGATGTTCTTAACTTTTTCATGCTTGATTTGGGGGGATTGTGTTTGACCTAAGAGAGAGAAAATCTAACTAGGTCAAGTTGGGCGTGCTTAGGTTATAGAAACTTGATTGATTGCATTAATCGTGAGTCAATTATATCATCTATACTAAGTTTATGATGTTTGCTCCAATTTATATATATCTTAAGGTGAGACTTAACCTAGGAGAGAGAAATCTAATTAGGCTGATTGAGCATATATGGATCGAGGTACCTTGTTGATTGCACGAGAGTCGGTCAACTAAGGTCGTGTGTAGTGAGTGAAAGCCATCTAGAGGGAATCCATAGCTTAAATGCTTGTTTAGGTGATTAGTTTGTAGAGAAATATCGCCTAATTAGCTAAACTAAAAAAACTTAAATGTCTTAATCGAGATTCAAGGTCAATTAATGGTGCCCTCTAGTATAGGAGTGGAGTGGATATTTCATTGATTTGAATTGAGACGGGATGCTTTTGGATGTTGATTTTGCAACATACACATGGATTTCTTGTTGGATTTTTCCAATCATTGGCCATGTTTGGGGATCTTATGTGAGATAGTGTCTAATATACTGGCCATGTTTGGGGATCGTATGTGAGATAATGTCTAATAGACTATGGCTAGAAGGCTCCATCTGTAGGGGAGTAGAAGGGATTGCATTAATCGTGAGTTGCTTCTATTTGGTGATCTAGGTTGACATAGAATAGGGACTCAAAGATCGGTATTTCTATAATCAAGCGATTAGGGTTGCAGGACAATGGATTCTCTCGTTTGTTTGGAAGTGGCCACAATTCCTTTAACTGAGAGTTGTGACTAAGTAGAGGAATACCTATGCTTTCATGTTCTTCATTGAAACTTTCTCAATTTCCTTTAAATCTAGTGTTGCTTGCTTCATCGTTTGATACATAGCTAGGAGGAATCTATCCCCAAGTGAGCTCTCTCTCTTAAAAGTTATATCCTTTTACTTTTTTAACCTTTTAGTAAGTAGTTTTAGGATATTTGAGTAGTGTCAGTGAAAATCCCAGAATCAATTGGCTAAAAAGAGAACCAATGTTTGAGTAATAGTCCAACTACAGCTCTGGGAGTATGATTGATGACTCGGTATTTGCACATGTTTTCCCCTTTGTTTCTTGATTGTTTGAGCTTGAATTATTGCGTCTTTGTCCTATTTTATGCTAGGTTGTGTTCCTTTGTCACATTTCAGGTCCTAGCACATAAAGTGAAGCATAGGCGCAAGTTTCAAATCAATCAGAGATCAATTGACGATTCGGGAGAAGAAACTCGGGCATGACCTGAAGAAGAATGGATTTCTACCTCATTTTATGGACAAATAATCATGCAAGCTTGTCATGAAAAGAAATAGGACGAGACTACGAGCGTCTGGGATCAAACGGGGACTGATTTGGAGTCCGGACGAGGGAGAAACGAAGCATTAAACAGAGACTGAGCAAGCCACACGGGCATCCTGGAACTCCACACGGCCGTGTGGGTCGTGGCCGTGTGGAAATCACCGAGCCTTCACACGGGAAGCTTTGAAAGCCACACGGCCGTGTGGCCTGGCCGCGTGATCGGGAATTTCTGTTTAAAACTCGATTTTCAGCCAAAGGAAAGGGGAGAGCGGGGTTTTGGTTCCCAAACACCCAAGGGACGAACCCTAGAGAGAGAGCGCGACTTGGGAACATTCTTGGAGCTATTTTGGAGGATTTCTTCGCCATTGGTGCTCGGGAATCAAGCTTGGAGATGGAGATTGAAGATCTAGATCAGATTTCTGCAGTCTCTCTCTTCTCTATGGAGTAACTTCCCTTCACTTAGGTTTTGAGGAACCCTAGTTCCATGTGTTAGGATCTTTCTTGTATGAAGTTTTGGATGCTATATTGTTTGATTATAATCGATTGAGGCATGATTTATTGAGTTAATTGAATCTTGATCAAGTTCTCTTGATTTATGCTTTAACCTATGATAGATAGAATCTGATTAGGCTAAGAGAGCTTCCTTGATTGATGGTGGTGAATTGGTTATACGAGAGTTAGTCAATCTACTGCTTTGTACTGGAATCCAATTCCGGTAGAGGAGTTTTGTGTTCATAGCCTCAGCTTTCTATCCCGGTGAAGGTTAGTAGCCTGCCGAGTAGTTGGACTGAGAGGGCTTGGTCAGCTTAAGAGATTCCAAGCTACTGTCGGATCTTCCGCAGTTTAATCAACAGTAGATCAACCAAAGGTAATTGCAACTTGGACCTAATTGAGGAGCTAGGGGGAATCATACGTAAGTGAGTTCACAACTTGTAATTAGTAGAGTAGTCGGTAGAGTAGTTTATAAATCAATCCTTAATCTAGTTTGCTAGATAATGAACTGAAGCTGAGTAATAGTAACTCTAGAGACCCGTGGATTCGATATTTATTACTTGTGCCACTATACTGCAGTCCCTTTCATTGGTTACACTTGGCCATTGTTAGGTGTTGTGTTTTAGCGTGTCAAGTTTTTGGCGCCGTTGCCGGGGACTTTCTAGATTATTAGGAAAGGCAGAAGTTTGTTACTTTAGCATTTTTCTTTTCTTTTCCACCCTTGCTTTTCACTTGGGTGTTTTTGTTTTTGTGGGTGCATATCTGAATCATGGATCCTCATGGCTTCTCCAACAATTGGGGGTATCCACCACCACCCGAGTGGTATTACCCTGAGACTCCCTGGAGCAATCAAGGAGGAGAAGACTATGGATTCAGGTTCCAGTACCAACCCCCTTACTACGGAGAACAACCGGACCCCTGGGCATATCAAGAACAACCTCATTACCAAGAAGAATTTCTCCCACAACCAGAAGGGCCATCGGCGCTGGAGTTACCCATGGCGGCCTTCACGGGCCATTCTGCGGAGCCATGCTACACTCCACAGCCAGATCCAAACTATGAATTGAGGCTTCTCATGGAACAGTTTGCTCGAGACAGTGAGAGAACATGCTCCAGGATGGATCATTGTGTCCAGGCCAATCGTGAAACAGAGGAGATCCTCCTGAGCCTTAAGAAGAGCGTCGATGATCTTGAGCGATCTTGTGCACAACCTGCTCCCGATCACCCTTCTGCTACCATACTAGAAGAGGAGGAGGAAGAAGAAGGCTACAAGGACATTGTGGAGCACACTAAAGTTGTCACGGAGAGCTCCCGTGATGATCATGATCAGGAATGTTCTGTCATAGCCGACCACACCTTCCCACATCCCAAACTGAGCTTTGAAGAGGCGGGCATGAGTGAGGAGATGCAAGAAGATCTCATGAAAGAAATTGCTTGGCAGCTTGCTCTCCAATCCGTGCTAGAAGAAGAAGAGCAAGAAAGGGTGCAGAAAGAAGTTGTGGAGGATGACGAAAGTGAAGCAGAAGGAGTTCTTGATCATTTCCCAGGAGTGATACCACATGAAGAAGAAAGGGAGATTGAAGAAGCAATTGGTGTCCAGGCTGAGGATGAAGTTGAGGTGGAAGAGGCTTGCACCGGCCCTATAATACAAGTAATATACCCACCAAACTTCGAGGAACTACTTAGCAAGGACCCATTTGCAGTGTCTCTTTGCCAGACCAAGGCCACATCGACATCGGTCCCTCTTGGTGGACGCGATGGTGGTCAATCGATGTTGTCATATATGGTTTGGGGCAATGAGACAAGAGAAGAGAAGAAGAGGTCTCGAGGATGGAGACTTCATCTGCATCAAGTGCACGAGCTTCCATCACCAGTCATACCACATGCTCGTGACTTGCGACTCCACCTCATTGACGAGAACCTCAACTTCAAGGAGGTTCTAGCATGGACCAAAACTTAGGAGCCATCGTCTGGCTCACGACGTGAAAGAAGCGCTTGTTGGGAGGCAACCCAACCAGTCGGTTTGCATTTCTTTCTCTATTTCTCCTCGGTTGAGTCAGTTTTGTTATTTGATTTTAGAGTCAATAACTCAACCTTTGTGAGATTTTGTGTGGTGTTTGCGTTCTGAATACTCTCTCTTCTTGGAATGCACCGCCTGACCCGTCCATCATCATTCACCCTTGATCTGGTAACTTCGTTCTACCCTCCTTATCTTTCCTCCATTGAGGACAATGTCGTGCTTAAGTGTGGGGGGGGGGGTGTTCGATTGTGTATGCGGGTGAATGTTTGGCTGTTTGTGTGCTTGGAGCCTAGTCCACTGTCCAAATTTTTAAATTTGAGGGCTCCAAGTACGTGTTTCCTTGCAAATTGCCTGCTCAGTATGCTTTGAATCGACTTCTCTATAGTAATGTGCAACCTAGGGAGGTAGTGTAGCACTATGGAGGATGTTGAAGTATAAGATTTTTCCTATCTAGCTCTCTGTTGTGCCAGTTGATTTTGTGAAGTAGTGGAGCTAAGACCGTTGAATTCATGTGGTAATGGTGACTCTGTTTGGATTGTGTTATGGACTCGTGTATCGAACATGGTGCTCATATGGAAAATGGGAAGCAGTTGGTCCTCCATGTCGAAATCATTGAAATCTTAAACATGGGGTAAGCCCAACGTGTGTGGCACCGTTCATTGCACAAAATCAGGTTTTGGAAGAGATTTTAGTGATCCTTAGTGGGGTACTCCTACAAGGTGAAGCTAAGCTGTCTCTAGTACAAGTAAAAGTTTCACCCGTTGAATGGTTTGCCTACTTGAGGATGTGTTTTTAAGGGCACGGATAGAGCTTCCGACCCCCCTTGATTTCATTGACCCTCCACACGAGTTGAGGAAAAGGAGTTAAAAGAAGTACTCTAGCGAGCGCTAGATGTACAAAAATTGCTCTTGCTCGACTAATAAGGGTCAACCGTGCAAAAGACTGCAGTTGGAACCCCCACCAAGTGAATGAAGAAAAAAAGAGAAAAAGAAGTGTAAATGAAAGTGCAAAAAGGGGTTCCAACGGTGAAATGAAGTGAAAGAGCACCCCGGTACAACGAGTCCTTGGTTGTGAATGGTGTGAGTCCCTTTGTCCATGAACTGATTGTCTTACTTCTACTTCTTCTCATGTTCCTGGCTTGAGTCTAGTACTCGCATTGAGAGAGATAGGGGACGTCTTAGAAGACCAGTTGACCTCGTAAGCTGCTATATGATCTAGGAAATCCTCTACCGACGATCGGGGTTGTTTGTTGCTATAGAGGCCTGGAGAGCTGCATTGGTTTGAGTTAGGTTTGCTTGGGGACAAGCAAACAGTTAAGTGTGGGGGGATTCGATGACTCGGTATTTGCACATGTTTTCCCCTTTGTTTCTTGATTGTTTGAGCTTGAATTATTGCGTCTTTGTCCTATTTTATGCTAGGTTGTGTTCCTTTGTCACATTTCAGGTCCTAGCACATAAAGTGAAGCATAGGCGCAAGTTTCAAATCAATCAGAGATCAATTGACAATTCGGGAGAAGAAACTCGGCCATGACCTGAAGAAGAATGGATTTCTACCTCACTTTATGGACAAAGAATCATGCAATCTTGTCATGAAAAGAAAGAGGACGAGTCTACGAGCGTCTGGGATCAAACGGGGACTGATTCGGAGTCCGGACGAGGGAGAAACGAAGCGTTAAACAGAGGCTGAGCAAGCCACACGGGCATCCTGGAAATCCACACGGCCGTGTGGGTCGTGGCCGTGTGGAAATCACCGAGCCTTCACACGGGCAGCTGGCAAAGCCACACGGCCGTGTGGCCTGGCCGCGTGATCGGGAATTTTTGTTTAAAACTCGATTTTCAGCCAAAGGAAAGGGGAGAGCTGGGTTTTTGGTTCCCAAACACCCAAGGGACGAACCCTAGAGAGAGAGAGAGCGACTTGGGAACATTCTTGGAGCTATTTTGGAGGATTTCTTCGCCATTGGAGCTCGGGAATCAAGCTTGGAGATGGAGATTGAAGATCTAGATCAGATTTCTGCAGTCTCTCTCTTCTCTATGGAGTAACTTCCCTTCACTTAGGTTTTGAGGAACCCTAGTTCCATGTGTTAGAATCTTTCTTGTATGAAGTTTTGGATGCTATATTGTTTGATTATAATCGAGTTAGGCATGATTTATTGTGTTAATTGAATCTTGATCAAATTCTCTTGATTTCTGCTTTAACCTATGATAGATAGAACCTGATTAGGTTAAGAGAGCTTCCTTGATTGATGGTGGTGAATTGGTTATACGAGAGTTAGTCAATCTACTGCTTTGTACTGGAATCCAATTCCGGTAGAGGAGTTCTGTGTTCATAGCCTCAGCTTTCTATCTTGGTGAAGGTTAGTCGCCTGCCGGGTAGTTGGACTGAGAGGGCTTGGTCAGCTTAAGAGATTCCAAGCTACTGTCGGATCTTCCGCAGTTTAATCAACAGTAGATCAACCAAAGGTAATTGCAACTTGGACCTAATTGAGGAACTAGGGGTTATCATACCTAAGTGAGTGGACAACTTGTAATTAGTAGAGTAGTCAGTAGAGTAGTTTATAAATCAATCCTTAATCTAGTTTGCTATATAATGAACTGAAGCTGAGTAATAGTAACTCTAGAGACCCGTGGATTCGATATTTATTACTTGTGCCACTATACTGCAGTCCCTTTCATTGGTTATACTTGGCCATTGTTAGGTGTTGTGTTTTAGCATGTCAATGATAATTTACAATATGAACCCTATACTACAAGCCCTAGCCTCTTATTCACTTTTTGGGAGTTAGATTAGTTTGTGCGAGTCATTTTGGCACCACACTCATTCTTTGTATCCACCTCTGTACACTTGCAAAGCTCTACATACAAGATTCGAGCATAATTAAACGTGTTTTTTCCCTAACATTTTGATCGTTTAGCTTGATTCAGGATGTTCCCTTAGCCTATTTTATGCTAGGTTGCTCTTGTTTATGTATATGATAGGATCTAGTAGGTAAATATGGCGAACGGGGAGAAGTTAGACTAGTGGGGACGAAAATGGAACATAAGCGCACGAGAAAAGGATTAAGTCAAGAATAAGTGCTCTGGTTCACGACTTGTCCATGAAACCTATCGAAGGATATTCGATTTCTGCATGACCAATCTCATGGCTTGGTCATGAGACGTGTTCAAGAGGTAATGAGATCGAGCAAAATGGTGGTGTATTTGATTCGGGTCACAACCAGGTGTTAATTCTCACGGTCATGGCCGTGGTCGTGACTTGTGCATTACAAACTATATCTCGGGTTTCATGCCATTTTTGTAAGGGGACTTGGTTTTAGAGAGAAGTCAGAGCTTTTCTTCCATTTTAGGGAGAGTGACAAACCCAAGCTTCTTGGAAGAGATTTGGAGCATCCTAAGGCCATTGGAGGCTTGATTTCACCACCAAAAGTAGCCAAGGAGTAAGATATTTTTCCTATGATGATTGTCTTCTCCATTTTGGTTGTATTTCTCTTCCTAGCTATGGAGTAGTTTTTCTGTTCACTTGGGTGTTATGGAACCTTAATTATTATGTTGTAATTGATTGTGTGTGAACCCTAGTCTTGATTATATATTGAGTTGACTATTATTGATGAAATTGCTGGTTCTTGATCACTTCCCTCAATTTGGGGCTAATTGACCGAGTAGAGAGAATATTTCCTTAGGTTGATTAAGGCATTGCAAATACAGAATTTCGAGTCTATGAACGAGTGCGATTAGATTCTTTATGGTGTAGCGGGTTTTACCCTATTGTGGTAGTAGTTGTGACTGCCTCAATTACCTAGGTCGTTTGTAGGTAAGCCTCTTAAGTAGTGTAATTGAACGGGATTGGCTAACGCGAATAGGAAGTCCAAACTAGATTAGAGATCTCTGAGGTATATGTAGAGTGGATTGAATTAAGGTGTCATAACCTCGATACAGTGTAGACTAGAAGGAGCACATCCGAGTGAATCTTCCCTTAACTGAAACCAATCTCATTTACTTTCTTGCTTACTTAGTTATTAGTAATTGAAACACCTATCGGTTTGCTAGATAACGAATAGTTCATTGAATTAAGGGTAGATAAGCCATCCGGGTTGATAAAGAAATAATTTGTCTTTACTACACTCAATTAGAGGTTCCACTTGGACTTTTATCGGGATAGTTATAGTCCATACGAGAGAGTCAAGTTTTCTGCCACCTTTGTCGAGGAACACGACTTGTTATTTGGCAAAAGTGAACTATTTTTACTTTAGATTTTACTTTCTTGCAATTTTGAGTTGTATCTTGCTTTTCCTCTCCGTGTTTGTGTTTTTTTTTTTGAAGTTAGTTTCATGTGGTGTATGACCAGGAGCCACTTGACGACAACATCAATTGAACTCTCCGGCAGCTTGCACGGGGAAGGTAGTCAAGAGAAGAAAGGGAATGATTAGTGACACGCTACGACACAACACCTAACAATGGCCAAGTGTAACCAATAAAAGGGACTGCAGTATAGTGGCACAAGTAATAAATATCAAATCCACGGGTCTCTAGAGTTACTATTACTCAGCTTCAGTTCATTATCTAGAAAACTAGATTAAGGACAGATTTACTAAACTACTCTACTAACTACTCTAATAATTACAAGTTGGGAACTCACTTAGGTATGATTCCCCCTAGCTCCTCAATTAGGTCCAAGTTGCAATTACTTTTGGTTGATCTACTATTGATTAAACTGTGGAAGATCCTAAATTAGCTTGGAATCTCTTAAGCTGACCAAGCTCTCTTAGACAGAATACCCGGCAGGCGACTAGCCTTCACCAGGATAGACTGCTAAGGCGATTCACACAGATCTCCACTACTGGAATGAATTCCAGTACAAAGCAGTGAATTGATTGACTCTCGCACAACCAATTCACCACTATCAAACAAGGAAGCTCTCTTAACCTAATTAGATTCTATCTATCATAGGTTAAAGCAGAAATCAAGAGAAGATGATCAGGCTTCAATTGACACTATAAATCATGCCTCAATTGATTATAATCAAACAATATAGCATCCAAAACTTCATACAAGAAAGATCCTAACACATGGAGCTAGAGTTCCTCAAAACCTAAGTGAAGGGAAGTTACTCCATAGAGAAGAGAGAGACTGCAGAAATCTGATCTAGATCTTCAATCTCCATCTCCAAGCTTGATTCTTGAGCTCCAATGGTGAAGAAATCCTCCAAAATAGCTCCAAGAATGTTCCCAAGTCGCTCTCTCTCTAGGGTTCGTCCCTTGGGTGTTTGGGAACCAAAATCCAGCTCTCCCTCTCCTTTGGCTCGAAATTGGCTTAAAACCAGAAATTCCCGACTCACACGGCCAGGCCACATGGCTGTGTGACTCTCCCAGGCTGCCCGTGTGAGTTTGCAAAACACAACGTTTCGTTAAGTGACTTCAGGCTTCCTACGCGGCCACGACCCACACGGCCGTGTGGCTTCCCAAGGTGCCCGTGTGGCTTCTCAACTTCTCGCCAAACGTCCAAACTTCGTCCAATCGACCCCGAACTCGTTCCCAAACCTTCATTCACGTACTAGGACCTGAAAGTCACAAACAAGCACAACCTAGCGTGAAATCGGCCTAAAACACGAGAATCAACATCTCAAATGGCTCAAGAATAGGGGTAAAAACATGTGTAATTATTGGTCTATCAAACTCCCCCACACTTAACCGTTTTCTTGTCCCCAAGCAAACCTAACTCAAACCAATGCAACTCTCCAGACCTCTATAGCAACAAACAACCCCGATCGTCGGTAGAGGATTTTCTAGATCATAAAGCAGCTTACGAGGTCAACTGGTCTTCTAAGATGTTCCCTATCTCTCTCAATGCGAGTACTAAACTCAAGCCAGGATCATGAGAAGAAGTAGAAGTAAGACAGTCAGTTCATGGATAAAGGGACTCACACCATTCACAATCAAGGACTCGCGATACCGGGGTGCTCTTTCACTTCATTTCACAGTTGGAACCCCTTTTTCACTTCCAATTTACTTTTTTTCATTCACTTAACGAGGGTTCCAAGTGCAGTCTTTCGCACGGTCGACCCTTATTAGTCGAGCAAGAGCAATTTCTTACATCTGGCGCTCGTCATAGTACTTCTTTTAACTCCTTTTCCTCAACTCGTGTGGAGGGTCAATGAAATTAAGGGGGGTCGCAAGCTCTATCCGTGCCCAAAAACACATCCGCAAGTAGGCATACCGTTCAACGGGTGGAAATTTTACTTGTACTAGAGACAACTTAGCTTCACCTTGTAGGAGTACCCCACTAAGGATCACTAAAAATCTCTTCCAAAACCCGATTGGGTGCAATGAACGGTGCCGCACACATTGGGCTTACCCCATGTTTAAGATTTTGATGATTTTGACATGGAGGACCAACTGCATTTCATTTTTCACATGATCACCTTGTTCGATTCATGAGTCCATAACACAATCCAAATAGAGTCACCATTACCACATGAA